CAAAGATTAGTTGGGAAACTAATTTATTTATCCTTGACAAGGCCAGATATAGCATTTCCCGTAAATGTGATAAGTCAACACATGACTAATCAATACTGAAGAGCATATGGCAGCAACAAATAGAATTCTCAAGTACTTGAAGAAAACTCCAAGACACGGCTTAATGTTTAAGAAGACACAAGACAGAACTGTTAAATTTTTTACAGACTATAGTTGGGCCGGAGACCTTACTGAAAGGAGATCCACTAGTGGCTACTGCACATTTGTTTAGGGCAACCTTACAACTTAGAGAAGTAAGAAACAATCTGTCGTTTCAAGTAGTGCTGAAGCTGAATTCAAAGCACTAGCATTAGGAATATGCGAAGGAATTTGGCTATTTAAACTACTGAAAGAACTTGGCACTAATCAAGAGGATCACTTTGAAGTCTTGTGTGATAATCAATCTGCTATTCAAATTGCCAAGAACCCAGTTCAACATGATCGGACAAAACATGTTGAGATTGATAGGCATTTTATAGCTGATCAAGTTAACAAAAAGACAGTCACACTTTTATACATTCCTTTAGAAGAACAAGTTGCAGACATTCTTACTAAAACTTTGCCAAAGCCTGTTTTTAATAAATTCTTGTTTTCAATAAATTCCTATTCAAGCTGGAATTATACAATGTATATTCTCCAGCTTGAGGGTGAGTGTAGGAATTATAGAGATATGATTTGTTATGATTTGATATCATTCCTTTTTTAAGTGTTTCCTACTTTAGAGAGATAATTTGTATATAAATATGTAATTTTTCCTATTAAAAATAACATGAAAATACAGAGAATTACTCTGATTTCTACAAATGCCAACTTTTTTGGGATTCTTGACAAAATGGTAGATAAATTTAGCGAAGAGAATGTGGTGCAAGTGATCACCAATAATGCATATGCCTATATCAAAGCGGGTAACATACTACTAAATTACTACTTACTAACATTTATTAATTTAGTATTTCTCTTTCATATATATATATATATAATATATATATATATAGTGTCACCTAATTGTTTATTTTAAACTTTGTAGGAAAGATGTTAGAAGCTACTAGAAAGCATCTTTACTGGACTCCATGTGTGGCACATTGCATAAATCTCATGTTAGAAGATATTGGAAAGCAAATTCCGCAGGTGAAAAATTGTTTGAAAAAGGCAATATCGGCAAACGGGTATATATACAGTTATGTTGGTCTAGTAAACTTGATGAGGAAGTTCACAAATCAAAGGAACTTGCATAGGCCCGCGATTACTCGATTTGCAACAACCTTTATCACTCTCCTTCAATTTCACAAGCAAAAAAATAACTCGAGGAAGATGGTTACTTCTCAAGAATGGATGCAGAGCAAGTGGTCTAAGGAACATAAGGACAAATTGGTGCATTCTTACTTTTTACAAGAGACCTTTTGGAGGAACATTGCATATACACTCAAGTTGACGGGTCCTCTTGTTAGTGTCCTTAGATTGGTTGATGGGGAAAAAAGGCCGGCCATGGGTTATATTTATAAAGCCATGGATAGGGCCAAGGAGAGTATTGCTAGAAGCTTCCCAAATCAAGAAGATTGTTACAAAAAAACATTTGAGATCATTGACCATAGGTGGAAACATCAACTCCACCGACATTTGCATGCCGCGGGCATTACTTAAACCCATCCATTTTCTATGATGATGTGAATGTGAAACGGATTGAAAGATGTGAAGAAAATAATGAATGGTTTACAATTTTGCATTGAAAGGTTGTCCCCGAATGCTCAAGTGGAAGACCAAACCATAAGAGAATTAAACAAGTATAAAAAAGCCGAAGGGATGTTTGGTAAAAGTTCGGCTATTAGGCAAAGGAAGCAAATGGCACCGGGGTAAGAAAATAAATTATTAAAAATATGTTATTACTCTTTTGCATACTGATTTTACTCTTCTAATTTTTTGCTTCCTTGTAGCGGAATGGTGGGAAACATATGGAGCTTCAGCTCCTAACTTGCAAAAGTTTGCCATACGAGTTCTTAGTCTTACTTGTAGTGCCACAAGTTGTGAAAGAATTGGGGCGTTTTTCAACACGTAAGTGTATATATATCTCAATTTCGTACTTTAATTAAAATATATTATCAATTAACATACAATTTAATATTTGATAGCTTCACACCAAGAAGCGCAATAGGTTAGCATAAGAAAGATTGAATGATATATATTTTTTGGATAAGATTTGAAGGCCTCATTAAAAACATCATTCTTGATTAATGGAGCTTGTATAGAAGCTCAAAGATTGAATGATATGGTTTATGTTAAATTCAATCATTCATTGCAACGCCGAAAGGGAACCCCTGATCCTATTGCTTTGGATGATATTGATGAAAGTAATGAATGGTTGATGGTAGAATGGAAATGATGAATGAAAAATTTTGGTGTTTCTTGATGATGATCTTACATGAGATGCGATGGGTAGAGCTTCTGGGGCTAATGAGCTAAGTCATTTCACTAGAGGATCAAGAAGAGGAGGTGATGATGGGTCGGCCCATCAAGAAATGATAAAGGAAAAAGACTCGCTCTTGTTGATGAAGATGAGATGGAGGAAGACATTGGAGTGACTGATAATGATGGAGATGGAGACGTGCTCGGGTTTGATGATGGGGATCTTGGAGACATTAGTTTGACTAAAGAGTTTTTGAGAACTTTGTGGGGGAAAGGGAAGTGGGGGCTATTGTTGATTGTCTTTTGATGTTTTGATTTCCTACGCGTACTTGTCTATTATGTTTCAACATTTATGAAGTACTATTAAACTACTTTTGGTATTAATTGAAGCATTTTTTATTTATAAGTATTTACAAGGTATAAAATTAGTTCAAAAGTATTTTTTTGTGAAAATTGGCGCATTGGGTTCGTGATGCGAGCGCATCACGCATCGGCTCCCGGGACACTAAACGCATCAGAGCGCATCCCGCATTTTAAAACCAAGATGTGTATCCCTTCTTTAGTTTTTGTAATATCATCAGATATAATGTTTTCATATTCCTTCAACTACGGGTAGCAAGAGGGCGGATATTGAAATTGTTAAAGATAGAGAATAAAAGCACAGAAGGTGTTACCATATCTCGAAGCTTCGGAAGCTATCTTCTGCAAGTAAACCAAAGGATCTGCAAACTCTTCCTTTGTAGGGCGGTACACAGGACATTCTGGAATTTTCTCAGTCCATTCTAGATCACTAGTGTCAAACTTATCAACCTTGCGCTTAGAAAAGACATCATTCTCACATGGAACACCATTTGACCAAGAAAATGATTCAGCATCCCCTTGTAACCTCAGTCCATCGGATGCTGAAACTCTCAAAGCATCTCCTCCATTTCTAGCCATCATATTTACAACATCATATTCCCCAGAAATGGATTCTGATTTTCTTTGTTGAAGTCGTTGAAACCTTTTACGCTTCAATAACTCTAACCCATTTTTAATCTCCTTGGACAAACGCACCCCTCCTCCACCTATAAAAAAATAAGCAGATAAACACGTTTAGAAAAAATATCAATTTATAGAAGCATGTGTTTTAAAAGACGTGAGGCGCTCCAAGGCGATTAGCTACCCGAGAGTCTCAATTTTTTGAGGCGCTTTGAGGCGAGGGATTTACGTACGCGAGGCGTTTAATTTTACAAAATATTTGTAAATATTTTATAACCATACCTCAAACACAAAACAACTTAATAAGCAAAAACACCAAGTAGCATAGGTATGTATCTCAAAAGACAAATAAAAACATCATCAATAATCAAAATGCCTAAAACTCGTCTTCATCATCATCGTCATCAACATCAATCCCAAGCACCTCCTCCTCCCCATCATCTTCGGAAAGTCCAATATCTTATTCTATTTCTTCGTCGTCTTCATCAATCAAATTTAGTCCAGTAGAGGGCCTTCTACGAGTGGAGGTTTGGGCAACACCCTTTCCTCTATCTCTTGATGAACTTGATGTAGATGTTCTTCTAGTGGAATAATTAGCTTGAGATGCCCCGGAAGCTTTATCAACAGCAGACCATGTTAAATCATCTCCATCAAAGACAAAGTCGTCCTCCTCACCATCTTCATCGTCCATATGGCCCATCAACCACTCGTTGCTTTCATCTATTTCCTTCAAAAGAATATGATATGTGGTGTCCTTTCTTTGATATCTCTGTCGCAAAGCACGATTAAACTTGACATACACCATGTCATTTAAACGACTTTGTGCCAATCTATTTCTTCTTTTTGAATGAAGTTGTTGAAAACGCTCCAGTTCCTCTCGCAACCCGTAGCACTACAAGTTAGGCTAAGAACTCGGATTACAATTTCTGTAACTCCGTGCTGAGGCTCCATATGCAACCACCAATCCGCTATTAACATATAAAAAATCAAGATTTAATTTGTGAGGTATGATATATATATAATATACATATATGCGTCTGTGTATGTTTTTTACCTGGAGCTCTTTTCTTTCTTTGTCTTGCAGCCATCGGATTGCCAAAAAGACCTTGGGCATTTTGATACAAGTCTAATTGTTCCCCAATCTTATATTAAGTGCTCAAATCAGGTACCAGCCTTTGAATGCAAGCATACAACCCGTTTATAACCACTACACACATTGCATTCTCTGGATTCTCGTAATACATTTCCGGAATTAAAAAAAAAACTCGGCTGTATACAATGGCCTATGAAGTTGGCAATCCCACCTTGCATCAATATACTCAAAAGCTTTCTTATAGTGTTCTTCTTTGTGTAAAAAACTAAGAGCGATAATCTCTTTAGCCCTATCCATGGACTCATAGATATATCTCATGGTCGGCTTTTTGTCTCCATCTACCATTCTCAATACCTTGACAAGAGGTCCTATCAACTTCAAAGCATACACTATATTTCTCCAAAAGCGTTCTTGCAAAATAATTGATGTTAGTCTATTCCCAGCAGATCGTTTGACCACTTGGTATTGTTTCATTCTGAAGACGTGATCATCTTTCGCAAATTGTTTTTTTGTTTATGCATCTGGGCGAGACTGATGAACGATGTTGCAAATCTGGTGATTGCGGGCCTATGTAGGTTTCTTGATTTTGTAACCTCCTCATCATGTTGACAATGCCAACATGGATATAGATATAACCAATCATGAAGATGGCACTTTTCAAAGTATTCTGCACTTTTAGGATCTTTCCAATATCCTCTAGCATTAAATCAATGCAATGTGCAGCACAAGGAGTCCAATATAAATATGGTCTAGTTGCCTTTAACATCATTCCTAAAAGAGAGAAATAAAAGATTAAAGGGAAAGCAAGAAGATTCAAACAAGTAACTATGTAAGGATATGTTAATTGTTTAGTATACCTACCTGCTTTAACATAATTAGATGCATTGTCTGTCACCACTTGTACTACATTCTCCTCTCCTATCTTTTCCACCATATAATCAAGCATTTTAAACAATGTGTTTGCATCCTTTTTGATTTTCGAGACATCCAAAGATTTTAGAAAGACCGAACCTTTAGGAGAATTCACTAAAAAGTTCACGATATCTTTCTGAACAGTTGAATCACGCCATCCATCAGATAGAATTGAGCAACCTTTTAATGCCCATTCTTACTTGTAATCTTTCAACTCGTTTTGGGTGGATTCTACTTCATTCTTAAGCAAAGGAACTCTAAGCTCATGCATGCTTGGTGGTTTGAATCCCGGGCCAAATTGTGCAACCGCTTCCATTGCAATGTGAAAGCTATCATAAGACGCCGCGTTAAAAGGTAGCCTTGTCCGACTGTTGGAAGATTAAAAGGTCTGACTGTTGGAAGAAAATCGAGCCCAGACCCAAAATTTAAAAATGGGTCATTGTACGTGAATCGCTAAAAGCATCGCCTCGTCGCCGCCGCCTCATGTACTCGCCGCCGCCTTGGTGGTCGGAGGCTTTTTTCTAAACGCCTCGCCTAGCGCCTCAGGCGCGCTTTTTAAAACACAGATAGAAGCATAATTATTGTGTCAGAACCCAATTGATATCTAAGTGACCTACATGTACGTCCATGCAACTATAATATTTATAACAGACTACATGCACACAGCCAACGCCATTAGCATACAAAGTATTCAATTAGCTATATTAGTTCAAACTCTGCATAAGTTTTAACTACTATCAGCTTAACTGGTGGAGAGCATACACTACAAGAGAATTTTTAACAAAACAAATTTATATGATACTCCAGGTATTTTGTCTGTGCCATTCTCTTGCCAAAAATAAGAGGGGAACTATTGTGGTCACAATCAAAGATCTTTGGATTTCAGAGTGCCCAATCCAGTCCATGCATTTACGACTACAGCTCAATAAATGTTAATGAAACAGCACATACATGACTAAATCTATGTTACAGTCGCTGTCACCAGACTAGACTCTCCATCCACCAATGAACCGAAAATTGGAACCAAAATCATTCAGAGATGAATATCAAAAGAATAAATTTAGTAACATGCATAAACGATTGGTACCCAAAACTGAGAACGTGAAAGCAAAAAGCCCATTCCAAATAATTTCTAAGGCATAAGAAAATTAACGGTTGACTCATTCTATATCAAATAAAAGGATTATAGATTAAAATTAACCACCAAAGATTCCCGTTAAAATCGTGCGTCAGAGGTCTATGACCAGTTGAATTAAGCGTACATAACATATGCCACAAATATAGAGTCAAAATTTCAGTAATTCAGAAACCCAATAAAAAAACAAGGCAATTTGAACAATAATACACGGTATTACCAGATCAACTTTTTAAGCAACAACAGTAATAATGAAATAAATTACTTAAAGAATTTTATCCAGTGTTATCTACAAAAACTAAAAACGTAGTGAAAAAAGGGGAAAACAAATCAACAAATACATGCGAATTATCTTATTAATATAAAAATGAAACATCCATCATCCCTATTCTCCACGGAAAATAGTTCTAATATGAAAGATAAAAAAAGAAGGAAAAATCAAGGAAAATCTGTCCGATCCAAAATGCATGATTCACGGTTGTTATTGCATGATTTTTTTTAATTGAAGAAACTTAACTTTTCTGCATTTCAAATTTTAATTTCTATATTTTCAAAAGATGTAGAACAAATGTAGGAAACCAGAAAAGCTAAGGAAAATTTAAGAAACGGTTTCAGAATTAAAACAATGTCTACAAAGACAAACAAAATAAATAGAACCATGGAAACCCTTCAACTTTTCATAAAAATATAAAATAGAAAGAACTCAACAGAATAATTACCGTACCATCTCATGCCGCAATGGTTCTTTGCACGCCACCGTTTTGCCGCGATTCACCAAAACAAACGATCCAGTGAAAAGGCGCAAAATCCTCAAAAAAAAAAATCAGAAACTATAAACTAGGTCACGATCTTGAGCATTTGCTATCAAACCAGAGCACCAAACCTCAACCAAGCTCGCCACATTCTCACAACGAGCCGCGTACTCAACCGGGACTGGTCAAACTCGGCGATCCGAATCCGAGTCTCGAAAAGAAACGCTCAAAAAGTACAGTAAACTATCAAAACTAGAGAGATAGTTTCCCTTCGAACAATACTTCCTTCGTCGGAGAAATAGCAGTTTGCCGGGGAGGGAGGCCGGCAAAGTAAAAAAGGTGGTGTTTGTTTTCACTGTGCAAGCTCTTCAAACCAATTATGTATGCGTCGTGCAGACCACGCGCAGACATTAAGCTTCGCAGACTGTTTGTTTTTTAGAAGACAGAAGCTCTTCAAACGTCTGCGCGAGCTCTTCTTGGTGCAGACTTGGTTTTATGTCTTTAAATATCTTCAATCCTCTTCAAGAACATTTATAAAATATATTTATTTATTAAAATAATTTTAAATAATTTAATAAGGTTATTTATTTTAAAATAATTTATTATAAAATAATTTATTATAAAATAATTTACTTTAAAATAAATTATTATAAAATATGGATTGATTTATTTTAAAATAATTTATTTTAAATAATTTATTAGTATGAATTGATTTATTTTAAAATATGGATTGATTTATTTTAAATAATTTATTAGTATGGATTGATTTGTTTTAAAATATGGATTGATTTATTATTGTAGTTGTATGAATTGATTTATTTTAAATAATTTATTACTATGAATTGATTTATTTTAAAATATGGATTGGTTTATTTTAAATAATTTATTAGTATGTATTGATTTATTTTAAAATATGGATTGATTTATTTTAAATAATTTATTAGTATGGATTGATTTATTTTAAAATATGGATTGATTTATTTTAAAATATGAATTGATTTATTTTAAAATATGGATTGATTTATTTTAAATAATTTATTAGTATATATTGATTTATTTTAAAGAATTTATTTGTATAGATTGATTTATTTTAAAATATGGATTGATTTATTATTGTAGTTGGATGGATTGATTTATTTTAAATAATTTATTAGTATGGATTGATTTATTTTAAAATATGGATTGATTTATTATTGTAGTTGTATGGATTGATTTATTTTAAATAATTTATTAGTATGGATTGATTTATTTTAAAATATGGATTGATTTATTTTAAATAATTTATTAGTATAGATTGATTTATTTTAAAATATGGATTGATTTATTTTAAATAATTTATTAGTATAGATTGATTTATTTTAAATAATTTATTTGTATAGATTGATTTATTTTAAAATATGGATTAATTTATTATTGTAGTTGTATGGATTGATTTATTTTAAATAATTTATTAGTATGAATTGATTTATTTTAAAATATGGATTGATTTATTATTGTAGGTGTATGGATTGATTTATTTTAAATAATTAATTAGTATGAATTGATTTATTTTAAAATATGGATTGATTTATTTTAAATAATTTATTATTGTAGTTGTATGGATTATTTAAATTTCTGTATTATAAAACTAAAATTATTTAAATCTTAGTATTACAAAACTCTTTTAAGTTTAAAAAGTCAGTTTATTTTATATTTCAGTTCATTTTAACAGTCTGCAGACGTTAAAAAACAAACGGTCTTCTTCTTGCAGACTGCAGACTTTTGGTCCACCTCTTCTGCTGCAGATGCCTGCAGATGTGGTCCGCAGACTGCAGATCTTTTACCTCTGCAAAAACAAACACCACCTAAATGAGAAGCGGAGAGTGGGAAGAGAGAGAGTAAAAAGGTAAGGCTAAGAAAAGCGGAAAAGAACCGCGAGAGGATAATTTACACATTTTATACTCAAATATTAATGTTTTACCCTCTAATATTACTATTACAATCGGAGGTGTTCAAAAGTTTGTTTAATCGATAAAATCGATTGAATTAAAAGATTTTTTTTGTTAATTGGTAAGTTAATTTTAAGTTCGGTGAATTAATGATTAATAATTTTTTAAAGTTTAATTATCAGTTAATTCAGTTTGAAATCGACTAATTAATTGAAATTTTTAAATTTTTAATATATTAATTATATATTAAAAGCTTTAGAAGTATTTAAATTTTGGTTTTAACCAAATGAATTAATTTAATTAGCCAAAAATATTAAATATATAATATATATTATTTAAAATTTCAGTTAATTTAGTTAATCGATCGATTAACCGAACTTTCTTCGGTTTGGTTAATTATTTTCAAAAAACTTCGGTTATATTAACGGTTAAAGCGAAAAAAATTCGATTAATGAAAATTTGAAAATTCGGTTCGATCGGTTAACCGAACCGACCAATTGAACACCCTTAACTACAACTAAATGAAATAAATAATATGGTAAATTCAAAATATAATCACCAAACTTTTAAGATACTTGCATCTTGGTCACTAAATTTTTAGATTTTATAATATAACCGAAGAACTTGAAACAATCCTATCATGCTTTTACGAGTAGTTATGTTGTACAATGACCTAATCTAATATGAATTTGTGACAGATTTTAACCTAAAATAGTATCATGGTCAATCTAAAAAGTTACACAATCGATAATAATTTTGGTTACAATAGAGAATATTATATTACGATAGATTTTAACTTAAAATGTTACATGTCTACTCTAAAAAAAATATCAATTTTAATTGCAACCGAGAATATCTTGACGATTACATCAAAATAATTATGTAATTTTCATGATTTGTTATGAAAATATAATATTTTTAATTTTATATTAAAATATGATTTAATTTATTTTAAAAATACCTATAAGTGTTTTATGCAAACAACATCTACCATTTTTTAATTTTATATTAACCAATTGCATTTAAAGTCATCGTGTTTTTACAAAATATCAGTCGCCTTGCTTAGTGGTTAGGTGAAGTTGTGAAGGAAAAGTGGATGTTTATTCTTTAGGTATTTCAACCAAACGCCTTGCTTGACGGCTAAAACGCTCTTTTTTCCTTGGCGCGTTTACAAGGAACCTTCCTTTTTTGTTTCCTTTTTCCACCTCATTACCCTTGGAAAAAATATTAAATGGCGAAATTAAAAAGAAATTTTGTCAATTCGAAATGACAGTACCATCAAAGACATCAATAGGAATGTTTAGTCGAATGACAATTTGAACTCAATTTGATCAAAGTTATGTAAAACTTTAACATGAGTTGATTCGAATTGAATTCAAGTTAGACTCAAAATTTTAACGAGTTGAGTCGAGTAAAATCTAACTCGACTCGATAAGTTCCCGAGTAACTCGTTAATTTTTTATATAATTTTTTAACAGTTATCTTAAAAAATTATTTCATT